TGAGACAACTTTTTTTTTTTCCTGCATCCCCCTCCTCCTTCTTGCATTTGTGTGCTTCTTTCCTCAAAGCAGCAACAGGGGGCAGGGTGCTGCGAGGCAGGGAGGGTAATTGTCTCAAGGTGTGGAGAGAGCTCAGCAGGCTGATATTGTGTAGCTCTGCTCCCTGCAGTGCGTCATTGTAGTGTGTGAGTGTGTGCTGATGTGTGTGTCAAGGAAAAACAGGTAAAAAACATGGGATAACTAAGAGAGTGCTGCGAAAAAAATAAAAAGTTATTTTTCAAATAAAACAAACTGCAGAAATGGTGTTTGCTGCTATCCTCCGAATAATCATGAAAGAAATACTTTTTAAAAAATGGATTCAGGGTGTTGGGAGATATATAAACAAAAGGCAGGAGAAAAACAAAGAAAATAGAGAATTGTAACATACAAGAGGAATATGAAGCATACGAAGCCACAGGCAGGACAAGTTGTTAAGTCAGTGTGTGTGTGTGTGTGTGTGTGTGTGTGAAGGGGGGTGTTAGAGCCCCAGTGGGGGTTTCTTCCAGAGTTCATCCCTCTTGAACGAGGGAAGGAAAGGGAGGAGGAGAGGGAGGAGGGCGAGTTTGTCTCGTATACAAACTATCCAGACTTCGGGCCAGTGTGGTTCGCCTGCAGCAGAGTCGCACTTCAGTGTGACTGAAGTTTCCAATAAGCTCCAGGAGGGAGGATAACTGAATCCATTTGAACTGAACTGAAAGAATTCAATTAAATAGCCGCACATGCCAAAACCAAATGGAAAGAGATAAAGAGCAGCTTGAAGAGACACATAAAACTTTGTGTGGCGGGACTGGATTTTCTGCAACGAAAGACAGAATGATGTGTGGATTGAAACCAAATGCAAATACTTGAATTATTCATTAATTGACCTAATTAGGGCTGATAGCCAATAAGAGCCGATCAGGTTGCAGACGACAGATGGAATTTTAATAAATTCACTTGAATATATCATTGAGGGGAAAAAAGTGTTGTCTTTTTCTTCAAGTTCAGCTTCCTTTTTTTTTTCTTTCTTTCTTGTCTTCTTTAAAGACAAATCTATACATATTTTAAATAATTTCCTGATCATGTGTTAGGAAGGTTTTCTTCCAAGAACAATTTAATTTAGCACCAGTCAGAACCAAATGTTTTACTTAGAACATTTCCAATTGACGACTTAGTTTGCAGTTTAAACCTTAGAGGCTTTCAGTCGGTGCACAGCAGGTCATCTGCATAAGTGTAAAAATGAAATTACTCTATTTGCTATAATACAATTTAATATATGAAAACAATATTTCCAGTTGTGAACAGATAATAAATGGATGGCGCAGTTCTTTTTAATTACTCTTGAAAAATATGTTTGTGAAGCTAAATCTAACCAACTGAAATCTGATAAATGACCCCAAACTTTGCCTTTATTATCAATTCAGCAAAAACTATCAAGGGATGATGAATCATTATCTCTTTTTTGTTTGATTTAATGGCTTTCCTTTCCTCCTCTTAATGCATTTTTTTTTTTTTACAAACTTTTAGTTCTAATAATAAAAACAAGTCATCTTAAATATGCAATATAAACCAACTCTAGGTTTTTATTTTGGTTGATTTTACAATAACTGTGAGTGTGAGCAGGTGTATTCCTGCACATCAGAGCACCTAATTACAGTGAAAGCTGAGAAAATCAGCAAATGACACCCTCACTAAACTCCCTCTCATTAAGTTTGTCCTCCAAAGACGCTCTATGAGGTGGGAGATGCTTTTTTTTTTTTTATATGCTTAAGGTGGCAGAGCTGTGCTGTTTGTGAGGGAGACTATTTGTCCCCCTGCTGTGGTGGAACAAAAAGAACAAGATGAGAATAGGGGAGGCGAGGAGTGTTTGTTTTCATTTGCTGAATATGAAACATGAAGAGGTGAGTTTGAAAACTTGAAGGAGAAAAGAGGGAAGGGAGAGGAGTTGGGCGGGAGGCCAATGGGAGAGCAGAAGCACACCTCCTCGGGCTCTGTGACCCTCCCCTTTCTTCTCCTTCAACCCCACCCCCCTTTTTTTTTTCAGGACTGGGAGAGCGTGCAGATAGTTTGGCTGTGACTGTGGTGGAGTGTGAGAGGCCCAGAGAGCCAGCGAGAGGGGAGCTGAGATCAGTTACAGCAGGCAGGAGAGTGGTCCGGGTGCAGGAGAGGGGTGGAAGCAGTTTGTGTGTTGTAGAACAGAGGCAAGGTGAGAAAAAACAAAAGAGTTAGAAAGAAATGATTCAGTCCATGTAGAGGACTCAGTCTGGGAGAGACAGAAAGGGGGCAGAGGCAGACAGACAGACAGACAGACAGACAGGGAACACCTGGGCCAAGCAGGGCATTAAGTTACTCTAAGTCCTGAGATTTTCCAAGAACAATAGCAGAAGATTTGAGAGGAGCATGTTTGACTGCATGGAGGCTCTGGGTCTGGCCCCTCGGCCTCTCTTTGATGTGTCCAGACAAGGCTCCTGCATGCTGGGTAAGGCCACCCCTTACTTCTCTGGCTTGGACCCCTTCGCCTGGGCCGGGACAAGCAGCAGTGTCCAGTGTGAGTACAGCATACTGTCCATCCAGCTGTGTGTGTGTGTGTGTGTGTGTGTGTGTGTGTGTGTGTGTGTGTGTGTCCTTATCCTTATCAGAGTCCTGGTTGTGTTATCATGCAGCTCTCTCCACAGGAAGAGTCAGATTCCTTTCGATCATATGTGCCCGTTCTCACCCTGCAAGCGTGTTTGTTTATGTGCTCAGTGGCGCTTTTGTGATTGTGAGTGAGAGAGTCAGGGAGTGTATTTATACATCACGCTGTTTGTTTTCTTTATGAATGACTTCACATGATTGACAGCTCCTCCAAACAATGCAGGGACTTAACCCGGTGATGTGTCCAGAAAACAACAAGCGCCAACATCCAAACAGAAAACGGCAACGACAGATTGAAGGCCTTGAAATCACACGGTTGCTTAACACAAGACAAATGAAGATCATTTCAGCGTATGAGAACTTCACTTTACATAGATTTGATTTGTGTTTACACTGATGCCAAGGAGTTCTATAAAACTCAGAAGCTATTATTAAAGGTGAATGAAAGATGAGGTATGAATCATTTGACATATAAGCACTCCCTGTTTCCCAACTCTAGACATTCTTTAGCCTCAAAAGACCTGAGTAAGAAAGGCACAGATTGCATCAGGTATTCAAAAAGAAAAAAGAAAAATCTAATCATCCACACAGGAACAGTTAGTCAGACAAACACCGTAGCGATAAATGAGAAAAAGTCTCTCTATCTTGTAAAATAATAACCTTTTGTTATTGTCATGGAGTCTATTTTCACACTCTTTGATTGCATTTGGCTCAGTGACTTGGAAAATCAAACATTGGTTCTGTCTGTCTATAGAAACCGACTCACAAGAAGTGTGTGTCAGATAAAATACATCCTCTCCTACTTTTCTCCGATGATCTGGGACGTCCCCGCTGAGCACCTTAAGTCTATTTGTCTTCGGTAATTATTTAGATACCAGTGCATCATACCCTGTCAGGGCCACAGTGCTCACTAATGATGATAGATGAGCAGTCAGGATGACAAACACCACAGCAGGGCCTGTTTCAACTCGCTGTGGAGCTTTGCCAGATGCCAGCCTGAAAGACAAATGTCCACAAATGTTCATTAATCATGCTTTCTTTATATGAAATTTGGCTTCTTCTTCTTCTTCTTTTTTTAAGCCTTGCAGGTTGCGGGTCTTGCTGTATGTGCACACATTTTATTCACACATGGTATAAAAGAACTAAAAACACATCCAACAGAAGGATTATGGGGAATTCAGCCTGTTAACATTATTGGACATCAACATGCAAAAAAGTGTTAGTCATGAGGCGAGTAACACTTTTCGTACTGTACCTTTATTTCTTTGCCAAAGACATAAACCTTCTTCAACATGATGCAAAGCAGGTCAGTTTTAAATTCCTCTGCTAAGAACTGGATCTTAAATAATCTGCTGATTAACCGATTAATTAATCAGCACAAATTATTGGATTAATCAATAAAAGTAGAAAAAATCTCGCAACTTTTTGCAGTTTGAGCTTCTCCAAGGCGAAGAATTTGCCGCTTTCTTAAGTTTTATATTACTGTCAAATGAGTGTTTTGGAGAAGAAGATGTTTTCAGACATGGCTTTGGGCTGTTGTTTTGTGGTCTGACAATTTACATTCATTATTTGATTTACTAAGAAAATAATTATTAGTTTCAGGCTTATTTATAGACAACTGCATCCTTTCTATGCTCTGATTATTTGTTAGTTAACAAATGTGTTTTTCTGGTTCTCTGCTGTTTTGTTTTTTTTAACTGGGATCAAATCAGAGACTCATTTGAGTTGAAAAAGAACAAAATCTAGACACTGCTCCTTGTTTGACAATGAAAAATTAGATTATGACCCATGCATGTCAATATTACATGACTAAGTGTGACCCTAAATGCAGGATTTCTCCATTTCTTGTGTGTAATCCTGTATGTATTGCATGTAATCTGATTACAGGCTACACACTTCATCTCCAGACTTAATTAGAAAGTGAACAATTGATGAATTTGCTTTCTGTGAACATGCTCTGTTGGACATTGTGACTCTAAATTCCTGAGAGCATTTTGGCCTGACACACACACACACACACACACACACTGTCTCTCCAATGTGTGTGTGTGTGTGTGTGTGTGTAAGAAGAGGGGGGGGGGGGTCATCTTTTCCTGGTCTTTTTTGTGTGAGGCAGTTCAGCACCTCTTTGCCTTCCTTTGTTTCAACGTCAGGAGGTATTAAAGGCAGCGGGGACATGCCGAAGTCTGTCTCTCTCTCTGTCACTGCCTCTTGTGCGCTGTGACATTTGTTTTTCTCTTCTTTTGAAGATCTCCCCTCTCTTTCTTCCAACAGTATGTGTTCCTCCCCCCTCCTCCTCCTCCTCCTCCTCCTCCAGCAGCAATAATGTGTGTTTATTCTTTGCTCACACATGGATCAGTTTACATGCCCCGTGTTGTGTAACTAAGAGCTTTTAATGATTCAATTACAATTACAAAGGCTCAATTAAAAGATTAGGGAGTGTGTGGGAGCATGGGGCAGTTAAAAGGGATGAGGCCTGAAAGAAGAGTGGCGGGATGAGGTTTGGAATTTGGGATTAAGCCCACTGTTGCTCTTTGTATCTTAATGTTTCAGGCCTTGAGGGGAAACACTCTTCCCTTCATTCAGTGATAATCTCCTTTTTCTCGGGCACCCTCTCCTCTCTTTAAAATTGGCCCTTCAAAGCTACTTTAACAATGGACCGTCGTGTCATCACATAGGAGGAGCACAGCTATCCGTCATACAGCTGGGAGATGCTCTTATAGGCGGTCACTGATAAAAACAGAGGGTTTCGTGCTTGATTTTTTTTTTAAATGTAGTGGTTGTTGCATTTCTTGGACAAGAAGGGCTCAGATAACTGTTTTGGTTGTATCCACAGCAGTGTCTTTAATGCGTTTTGGTAATGTGTGTCACTGGGTTATGAAGCATAGGCGTGTGCTCGTTCTCTTGATGCCGATAGGCTCCTTCTTAGGAGTGGTGAGGAAGAAACTGCCCCGCGAATGTGGAAATTCAAGTTCAGTGTGTGCATAAGGGTGTGTGTGAAGGCACAGATTCTAGTATTTGTAATGAAACAGCTTTTCCATCATTGCACGATCAGACCATTTAATAACAACCAGATCATGAGAATACTAAGGTATGTGAAGTTATTGGGTGCTGCAGGAAATTTAACGACGTGAACAAAGGTAAAACTGTTTTTTTTTTTCTATGTTCTATAGACACTTTTAGTAGCAGTGGTCAAATACAAATACAGGTTTCAGGTTACAGCTTAAAACAGGTTCTGTTTTCATCAAAACACAAAAATTAGCCACATGAAGTGTTTCAATTTTCCTTGCGGTTAATAATCTAATTCATGAGAAGTTTCCTGCAGACAGCCAGGCATCCCTCTCTCTGGTTAAATGTTTTCAGACAGAGCATGCCATGACAGATTATTTAATGATTGTTAATCACACAAACCAAATTACAACTAATCTGGTTATTCACAGTAATTAGGCTACGGTTTGCATGTAAACATACTGCATTTCTCTTTGACTTTGACACCTACAGACTCATCTGTTCAGAATGCACACATGGTAAATAGATTATGGGTGGTTACACAATTATATCTAGTTGAGCTGAATTAACCTATTTAAAATAATAGGAGCATTTTTTTTTACAGTTGCAGTCAGTCTTATACAAGCAGATGTGCCTGATTAGTGATTGTTGAGCAAAAGTGATTTAAACCAACATCTTGTGAGGTTCGGCGTGTCGTGTTCCAGCTTGTCTCTAAATTTTGGCGTCATAGCTCAATTTCACCACATTAATTTTCACAGAGTTTGTTCTTTGTTGATTCTGATTTATCGATGTGTCTTACAGTTTTCTCTTATCCCTTGCATCTACGCTGCCAAATGTGAATCACTTGCAGCAATAATTTAATGAAAAGCTGCTTTTAGTCACTTTAAATATTAAATCTGTCAAACCTGGTGCAAGAGTGTAACTGCATGCAATCATCAAGCCAGGCAGCATTGACATCTTTATTTTTTTTTTCCATAACAAAGTGCAAAATTTAAAACCTTACCACATATTGCCACACTGCCTGATGTCTGGTCATGTCTGCTCTTGACCTTTACACATGTGTGCAACTGAGTTTGGCAGAAAACGATGCATCTGTCAAGTTATGTTGATCCCCAGCACTGACTATATGGACTCTGTAATATCAAAAAAAGGGGGGGGAAATATAAAGCTGGGTTTATTGGGAGTTATAAAAAAAAGAAAGGGACAAAAGGGACAAACCTAAATTTAACAACCTGTCCCATAAATGCACCATCCCCCACACACTGCAGACAAAGACCAACTCCTTGACCATGAAAAACAATATTACGTGACAGTGATTTTCCAGGTTTTTTTAAACTTTGTATTGCATTACGGTCACATTATGGATGGTAGCTGAGTGTGTGTTGTGAATTCTGCTCTTTTGGTCCATATTCCTACTGTGCATCTCACATTGCAAAACATGCTTCAGCACTGTGTAGGGGCTTGCAGGGTTTGGGGTTTTCTGTTTTTGTAACTGAGCTTGTGAAAGTGTGTGTGTGTGTGTGTGTGTGTGTGTGTGTGTGCGCGTGTGTGCGTGTGCACTTTTGTGCACTGTTGTGTGTTTGTGTGTCCCTGCCTCCTTTTTAAGTGTTTGGTGCTGTTTTTATGGAGCCATCTCCTGGACAGTAGCCTGGTTTTCACAGCCTTTCCTTTAAAAGGCGCTGCCAATGACAGGAAGGACTCCTCCTCCTGCCAGGGCAGGAAGGCAGGAGAGGACAGAGGGGGGAAGAGGGTTATTAGCAAGGGTTGAGTTTGGGGGAGGGAAAGGGGGAGGAGGAGGAGGGGGGGGACGCTGGTATTGAACTTAGAACAGCTGATGAAAGGGATTGTCACTAAGATCTCCCCCATCTCCTCCCTGCTGTCGTGGTAATTACTTGCTCAGCATATTTGAGGTTGAAACTCTTCCCTCACTATTTATCTGCTCATAATACAAGAACTTTGAGAATGACATGCATTTTATAATAAAAATCTGATTCAAAATTTATTTTGGTTTCCCTCCAAAATGGATTAAACAAGGCTTTTTTTGTGTTACAGCCGTATAATAATGAAGCACATTTACCCCAGTGTTTCCTCCCCCTCGCTTCATGTTTTGTGAGTGTTGTTGCACTCAAAGTCACTCAGAAAGCCATCACACACTGTCCGACCGACCAGTGCGACAGCCCACACACACATATTCACATGTGCACGCACATTCCACAGCATGCTGCCGAACATTTTGTGAGGCAAGAAGTTCTGCAAAAACTGAATTTGTTCTCAAAATTTATCCAAAGGAGGAAAAAATGTAAACCTTAAAAAGCATTTGAAGAGTTCATTTGCAAAAACAGATAACTCCATCTTCACAAACTTTCAGAAAATCCACTTTTCCATCGTCTCTCTGAGACAATATCAATCAAACTTAAGTTATCTCTATTTTTGTCATGTCATTTCTACTGAGTCCGATCTACTCAACTTCAGTTTGATTGATATTATGTCAAGCAAACCACAACAAAAAATAGTTTTCTGAAAATCTACAAAAATGGAGTTAACTGTTTTTGCAAATTAACTCTTCATTTATTTTAATACAATCATCTGAGTCACTGCTATTTGTATCACACATAATCCCCTTAAAAAACAATAAATGAGAACGTGTCACAGCTAGTTATTATTAGGTTCTTTGTTACAGTCCATAGCTTTATCTTCCACTACTTCTCCTCACTGTGAGGCTCAGAGGAGCCTCCAGGCCAAAGTCTAGTTCAATAAGATGTGCGATGTTGGCAGGTCAAACCAGGCTGCAGGTCCTATAGGCCATGTGTCACACTGTTTAGTCCACACACACACTCTGAGAAGAATGGAGGAACACCTTCAGCCAGTCTGGACTGTGTTCACATTCAGGCTGTAAAACTGATACAGCCGCAGCGTGAAGGCAGGAATTATCAGCCACTGTTTCCATTCTCATATACTTGTTAATAGCAAATGGTAAATCAGTTCTGTCCAACTGAAACATCAGCTTTGTCGCAGTAAAATATCCGTGCTGGATGCCAAATGGACAGCTGGGCAGCTGCTCTAGCAGAAAGGGAAGCTGTGTCCTCGATCTATACTAGATTCACATACATACATTAATTCTACACATTTTCCAGTATGCCTTAAAAAACACACACATACAAAATGCAGAGTAAAAACACTGGATTTTTTGCATCAGTTCAGTTAAACAGCGAAAACACTATTTCAAGCTTTGGAGTTGCCATATTTGCCACATTCATTCTTGTCAGAAAACATTTTCACTGTCCACCTTTAGCAAACTCTTCTCAGGAGCGATATCTCAGCTCCTGCAGAGCTTTGACTCCCGGGCGTCAGAGCTGATAAGGAAGGTGTCTGCTTTCGGAGGGGCATCTGTTGTCTAAACAGGGATGTGCTGATCTGACAACAAACACTGAGGAAATGTGAGAGGAGGAAGATGGAAAAGACACATGGAAACAAGATGGGTACATGAAGTGAAGGAACGCATAGGAACGGTGTTGTATGGTGATAGAAAATAGAATAGAAATAGAAGTCTCCAAGTAGATTGAATGTAGTTTTTTTTTAAAGGCCTTCAAGTGGATGATGAAACGAATCAGGTGGCAGGTTATATTTATAGTTTTGATCGCATGTAGATGAGTTGTATCAGGTTGGCTGATGAGGCCGATTCACACGAGTCACGTCGTCTGTTCGGCGTCCAATAGCGGCGTGCTGATTGATGTTGTGACACACTGAGGGGTGAGATGTAGGTTAAGAAGAGAGAGGTATTTTTTTCAAGGCCAGGCTCTGAGGCTGAGCTCAGTTCAGGGTGATGACAGCTGCTGACAGTTTTGGCTCCTCTCCCTGTTTCTCCACGCCAGGTAAAGTCCCCTCCTCCTCCATCCGCCCTCCCTCACTCTCTCTCTCTCACTGCCTTCAAGCCGAGCGTCTCTCGCCCTGTCTTCCTCCGTCAGGTTGGTCTGAGTCACGTCCCTCCTCGCCCGCTCTCACCACCCTCAGACAGTGTCAGTCACTACCTCTCTCCTGGCGCCAGATGCAGCTTCTCCGTTTCAATGGGAGCTATTTTTCCACTTGTTCTCTCAGGGACACTTTTACATTGTCAGTGTTACTATATAAACAGAAAACAGTGATCAGGTTACGGTGCCACTCATTCAGCTCCAAACTCCTTCGCTTCCCACACCTCAGTCCCCCAAAAACTGAATGCATCACACTGTTTACTGCTCACCTGGCAGCTCTGTGTTTATTCATAAACTTATCCGTGAAACATGATGCTTTCTCCAGCATTGTCATATCATCTATTGTTTCTGAAGATTGCATAATATTTGCAGCCTTTTCTGGTAAAAGTAGAACAAACAGGCAGAAATGAAATTCTCACAATAGGGCTGTTTGGCCTGTTTGACCAGAAACATCATCAATTACTAACTGACAGGCATTTCAGTCCTGATTAATCTGCAGATTGCTTTCTTAATCCATGATTCATTTGTTGTAACGTGTGAGAAAATAGTGTGATAGATGCCTGTCAGAATTTCCTGAAGCACAAGCTGCTCTCCTCTAATATCATGTTTAAACTCCAAAACAATTTCGTTTCACATGAAACAAAGAAAAGCACCAAATCCACACAAGTAGGAAGCTGGAGGCTTGTAGGTTGGTGCATTCTTGAAGCCCTGAGTCTCATAACACATAAAAGTAGATGAATCCTAATGCTCTTTTATTGTTCTGCAGTAGTCTTTCTTTCATTTTTTCCACTTTGCCTGTTGTTAGATAACAATGCTGTCTCTGTGTAAATGAATTCCTGCATGTTTTTAAAAATACAGAACACATTATTGGTCATAAACAAAGTGGAATCAGGGAATGTTTTGCAGTTTCACAAAAAAAAAAATACTGGTTTAACCTCTAAATCTCAGTGCCTGCTTAAAAAAATCTCCAAAGTTAGACCATTTATCAAAGGGAAAAGAAAAGAAGCAAAAAGAGAAAAAAAAGAAACAAAAAAATGTAAAATTGTAAATTGTACATATGGAAATCTTTGTATTGTGTTCTTTTTTTCCTGGTTGCTTTTTCTTTCTTTCTTTTTTTTCTTCTTTTTTAAAAAAATATTTTGTATAGTTTTAAATAATTATTTATTTTGTGTTGCTACTGTGATCAAACAATTTCCCTTGTGGATCAATAAAGTTTATCTAAGTCTAAGTCTAAAGCCAAAAACAGTCAATACAGAAAAATTCATAGGATTTTCCACTTTACAAACATGCCTAAAACTTGGTGATTCCAATTAAAAAAAAAAAAAACAACAACTTAACCGCTATACATGAAAGCATCAAATCAAGATACTTAATCAGAATCACTTTTGTCTACATGTCTCACAAAAAAATTCCCAAAGTGCTGTTTCAATTAACCAGATTCTGTAAAAAAGAAAAAAAAAATTTTTTTTGTTGGCCATTGTGGAGGTTTTTGTTGCTTCGGTTGCACGGGGCGTTCTTTTAGGAAAATTTTGGGGCTTTTTTTTGTTAAACTGACCTGAACTACAGGCTCTATTTCTAGCCATAGTTGTTTCCATTGAGGTGCAGGACTTTATATTTTCGTGAAAACAGTGAGTAAAAACATGACAGAAGAAGAAGAAGAAAGAAAAAAAAAACACCCAGAAACTGCTCAGGATTTAGTTTTCAATATAGCTGCTGATCAACTAATTACTTCTGCCATATCAAACTCTAAGCATTGGCCATTCTGATACTGTAGTGAACATGTTTTCTGTAATACTGAGTGGTAAACAATGCAAGACGTTTAAAAAAGAGAAGTTTTTATTATGTGAATTTATGAGGAACTCTCTTTTGTTCTGACTCTGTCACACACTGCTCACATAACTTACCACTACATTCATTTATTTATTACAAGTCAAAACAAAGCAGTCCACACCGCTAAGTTCCACTGAAACAACACATGAGTCAGCTGAATATTGGCTGCACCACTTGTTTGTCATTGTTTAAATGTGGGAACGAGGAAGGAACTTTTTAATGTTCTTGTCAGCACAACTGGCTCTGAGTTACAATGTTTTAAGAACGCCTAGAAATCTAAATTTGCTGCGAGCAAGTTCAAAATGACAGTAATGTGGTTAAAGTTTACCCTGGGACTGAAAAACAACAGAAATATTTGAATTTATGCACACGTGTCATGACAGGAGTAATGGCTGGGGGTGTGCAATGATCCCAGTTGCTGTGTTTTTTTATTTCCACTTCAGATTAGGTTCAATAACAGTCTCCCCACTGACTCACACTTCTGTTTCATTGTGTCAAAACTAGTTGGGTATGTGCAAAATATTTCACAGAAAGTCAAAAAACAGGTTTTAAGACTACATTATTACTTTTCAGCAGATAAGAAACATAATTTATTTGAATTTATTGGCTTAAAAAAATGGGTTAAATCAATCACTCCAAAATGACTTTCTATTGATTAATTGATTAGCCAGCTGACCAGCGTGTGCAGCCATGATTAAATGAACATAATGTCACATCATCTAAACACATCTCTGAATCTTAAAGCAGGCTGCTGGTCTTGTAGTTAGCAATGGCCTTCTTCAGTCAAGGTCAAAGTTAAATAGTCAGGATTTTATTTAACCTCTCAGCCACTGGGAAGTTTCTGTCCTCGGACTCACCTCCTTCTCACCCTTTTCTTTCTCTTTTTATTTTTTTCCCCTCTCTGTTTTTATTAGATTATTCCTTTGTGCCTTTGCCTCTCTGTTTTTTGAAACCTTACCACTCTTGTTAATGACAAGCTGCGGGTTCAGGTTGGGGTTGATGCGGTGGGGTGAGGGCCACATTTGGTTCAGTCCTGTGCTATCCATTGAAGGTGACAGGAGGGGCTGTGACTTTGGGTTTTTGACCCCAGATTCTTTATTTTTACTAGGAAGGGATCCAAGGATGAAGCTGTTGATGTGAATAGCTGCCCAAGGTGACTGGATCCCAATAAAGAGTCCGTCACCCTGGCCGGGGGCCTCCTTCCCATCCGAGACACAACCTTTATAGGGCTGCTTATGAGCCTGGGCAACTATTAAACCCTGTCCAGCCTGCACTGAGGAATTTAGGGCCAGGAAACAAGGGAGTGGGGGTGGGAATGGGCAGAGGGAGGTGAAGTTGGGGTGACTGAAGGTGAAAGTTGAAAGGCACGTTCGAAGGAATCTGGTTGTTCTTTAGTCATCACCTTTAAATGTGTACCAGGCGTCTTATAGGTTTTCTCTCTTTTCTGTGAGGAGGCACAGTTTTAAGCAGCTGGATGAACTTGTCACTGCAGCTGTTTTCTGTTTTATATATATGTATTGTTTGTTTTTAACCATTTTCATTAGCAGGCAGTCAAATGTGTTTGCCTGTGGCCAGCATATGGTGTTATACAGTGTGCCATTTTCTTTAGCGAGACAGTGAGAAGCAGCAGAGGGGAGACAGCCGAGTCTCATAAACATCCCACCTCTGTTTGTTCACATGGGGCTTGAGGTATACGGGCGGGTCTGGTTGGACGGGCCTTTCAAATAAAAATGCGAGCATGTGTGCACGCCAGCACGCACACAAAAATTCAGATGTCAGTCAAAAAGTCAACAGAGGTATCTCACTCCCCCCCCTCCCCAAACTCACCAGTAAATGGAGAAGCCAATCAAATCTCAGCTGCCAATCAGCATTTTATCAGCAGGGCCATCTGGCCATCAGCTAATTGTGTCTCTTTTAAGTCCCTGTCAATCAGCAGCGTCCCCCCTCCTCCCCTCCCTTTTCTCTTAAAAATGTCTGCCTTTGAGCTTCGCCTTCTGGCTCCAAGGGGTGGCCTGCATGGGGTTGGGGGGTTGTTTGTTGACCACCCTCTCTTAATCAGTTGTATTAGCTTTCATCATAGTTTCTTAAGACTTTGACATAAGATGCTCGGATACAAACCTTAAATGTGTGTTTTTTTTTCCTCCTTCTGCAGCGGTGGAGACCCAGAGCACCAGCTCGGAGGAGATGGTGCCCAGCTCCCCTTCTCCTCCACCACCTCCCCGGGTCTACAAGCCGTGCTTTGTGTGCCAGGACAAGTCATCTGGTTACCACTATGGAGTGAGCTCCTGTGAGGGCTGCAAGGTAAGTGAAGCCAGAGGTACACGGAGAGTTTACAGGACATGTATAAAGTGGACAGTCGAGGTCCACTGAGAAGAGAGCCGGAGTGAGAACCTTATGTTCAACTGGAGCCTGACAGATGTGCACAGGAGTGGAGCTGCAATGTTTGCTGCTGTTCAGCTGCCCTCTAGTGCAACACTGCAAGTACTGCATGGTATTAATGTTACAATGTTCTGAATGTGACCAACAGAGGGGACTGTATATGTTAAATGAGGCTCTAAAATGAAATGGAGAACAAATAAATGTTTTTTTATTTATACAGATACTAATTAATTCTTGTCAAAGGAAAAGTTTGAAATACAATAAAACTTTATTAATCCCACAGGAAGTTCTTGAAAAATTAGGTAATACTCTTGTTGTTCCCCTCCATGGAAATCTTTAGTAATAGGCGCAAGATTTATATGATCTGAAGGAGAACCAGGAGTGGATATTTTAGTAATTACACTTTTTCGCTGACTTACTCTGAATTATACGGAGAGCTCTGGCCACTATCATGTTTCCTTGTGGCATAAGAATCTCAGCACAAAAAAGTGGAAACAGGCTGTTTTATGGTAACATAACACAGCTGTCTGCATCTCTAGACTAGATTTGCTGTTTTCGTCTTTCCCATCTTTTTGTTAAGCTGAAAAAAAAACCTCATCAGTATGACATCTGAAAATAATATTGTCAGAGATCTTAGGAACACCTTCTGGAGTGTTATTTCTTTTTCTCCGTAGCAGCGTACCAGACTTTTTCTGTTATCTGTCTCAGGGATTTTTCCGGCGCAGCATCCAGAAGAATATGGTGTACACCTGCCACCGAGACAAGAACTGCCAGATCAACAAAGTGACCCGCAACCGCTGCCAGTACTGTCGGCTGCAGAAGTGCTTTGAGGTTGGAATGTCCAAAGAAGGTTGGTGTCTTCAAGTTCATAGCACGAAGGGAGTTTCTTTCTTTTTTTTTTGAAAGTGCTATTAAATGTTGATCCTGTGTTTCATCTGTAGCGGTGCGCAACGACAGGAACAAAAAGAAGAAGGACGTGAAGGAGGAGGTGGTGCTGCCGGAGAACTACGAGCTTAGTGGAGAACTGGAGGAGCTGGTTAACAAAGTCAGCAAAGCACACCAAGAGACCTTCCCGTCTCTGTGCCAACTAGGAAAGTACACCACAGTAAGTTTCTTTTTTTTTTTTTTTTTAATGCAAACTTGCATCCTCTTCTGAATACTCACACTCCACTGAAGCTCACCGCTTTGCAGGAAGAACAATCACAGTATGGACTCTGCACATACACACAGACCAAAGTGTCCCTCTTTCTCTCTCCCAGAATTCAAGTGCTGACCACAGAGTACAGCTGGACTTGGGCCTGTGGGATAAGTTCAGTGAGCTCTCCACTAAGTGCATTATAAAGATTGTGGAGTTTGCCAAGCGGCTACCAGGCTTCACCACGCTCACCATCGCTGACCAGATCACCCTCCTCAAATCTGCATGTCTGGACATCCTGGTACTAGCCCCATAGTCCTCCTCTTTAACCTGCAGCTCTTCCACCTCCCTAACACCTTTTCATCTGTCACGCTGCTCGATACAATACGAAAACGTGCTTCTGAACAGCTGCCATTTTCTTCTGAACTTTATCTGAAAATTTACGAGCTGTTCAATTTCTCTTTCGTCTCTGCTTTCTCGTTTTCTCCCCTGGCGTAGATGCTAAGGATATGCACCCGCTACACACCAGAACAGGACACAATGACCTTCTCAGATGGCCTGACTCTTAACAGGACCCAGATGCACAACGCTGGCTTTGGCCCCCTCACAGACCTGGTGTTTGCCTTTGCCGGTCAGCTGCTGCCTTTGGAGATGGACGACACAGAGACGGGGCTCCTCAGTGCGATCTGTCTCATCTGTGGAGGTTAGTCTGGGTCGCTGTTCTGCATCTGTTTATCTCCACCTGCAGTTAAGGAGCCAAAATATGTTCATAGTCAAGTAACCAGACACCAGTATGAAGCCTATAAAATTTTTAATTTGTCTCATGGTTTTGCAGTTCCCTCTCTATCATCTTGTTAGCTGTTTGCTAAATTCTTAACATATCTTTTACATCGGTACGTCCCTCTTGCTCTCCCAGATCGAATGGACTTGGAGGAGCCGGAGAAAGTGGACAAGCTGCAAGAACCGCTGCTAGAGGCTCTGAAGATCTACACTCGCCGCAGACGCCCCAACAAGCCTCACATGTTTCCCCGCATGCTGATGAAAGTCACGGACCTCCGAGGAATCAGCACCAAAGGTCAGTTATTTTTTCACAGTTTTGGAGTTGATATGATTATCAAACCTTCGTCCTCATGCTACAGTCCAGCTCACAACAGAGGGAAAAGGAAGCAACAAAGACAAACCAGATGGAGGCTGTTTAACCGGAGTTGATTTATAGTAATTAACAGTTAACACAAACACAGTTGACAAAAAAGAAGGGCAGAGGATGCAAAAAGAAAACAATATAGCAAAAGGAGGACCTTTAACCAAAACACTTGCCTTAATTCGATTTTAACAAAATAATAGCTTCAAAATCAAAAACTTACTTTCTTGACCTACTCTATCAAAAACAAAAGTACACAAGAAATTGCACACCGATCTACGATCTAGTGCCAAACCTCAATATGGATCCCATAGTAGAGCACTGAAAACTGTAAAGTACTAAAAGTTAAAAAGCTTTTTAGATTTATATTTATCGTCACCTTCTCCTCAGTCAGACTAACTCAGATTCAAACCCTTTTGGCTAAGATCAGAGAAAGATGGAAGTCTGTCTCTGGTTTGACGTCCACCTCAACCGACACTTGGCCACTTCACAATTGTTTTATAAATTGATTTCTAAAAAACTTTGCCTCTGAATGCAATTCAGCATTTGTCTACAAAAGCTAAATGGAAAAACAAGTTAGTATCATAGAAGACAGTAGTTGAAGAATCGTGTGTGCAGAGAGAATACACCATCATCGTCATATCTGCAGAATCCTCACATAGGATGTCAATTAGCAATTCCTTTAAAAAGGAAAGCACTTTTTTCTTTTTCTTCCTCTTTTCTCTTTTCGCACACAAACAGTTAAATATATATATTCATGTATCTGTAGGTGCAGAAAGAGCCATCACACTGAAGACGGAGATCCCAGGCCCCATGCCTCCTCTGATCAGGGAGATGCTGGAGAACCCAGAAGCCTTCGAGGACAGCAGCGACTCGGGCGACAGCGCCGCGGCCGCCCCCCCGGCCATTCAAGCCATCAAGCAGGAAGAGAAGTCCACGTACGAGTCGGAGGAGGAGGAGGAAGAGGACGACTACTGGGATGAGGAGAAAGAGCGAGGGGCGGACAGTGACGGAGAGCCGTGGGGCGGGGAGGCGTCAGCGGCGGCCGCTGCTCAAAAGAAAAGCGTGACGCAGTGAGAAGGACAAGAAGATCGCTGAGCCTCACTGAGCAATATCACCTCCCAGAAACCTCACAGATTTAGGCTCTTAAACATCCTGAACGGTGTTTCATACAGCACATATCTACTTAAACTGTACATACTGACTGAAAGGAAAATGTGTTCAATTCAGAATAGGAAGTAAAAGCACTACATTTCAGTGGATTGGTGAGGGCACTATTAAAAACAATCACTGTGCCAGACTGTGTAAAAGATATTTGAAAAAGTGTTTTGTCCACACAAAGAGAGGAATTGTTGGACAGAAGAAAATGCACTCCTCTGCTATCTATTAAGGGCTATGCTTTGTATAAAATTGATGGTGACAATACATTGCAACAACAGAACTCTACGTGGTGTCCATATGCCGCAACATGTCTTCTCAGAATTACCTTTATTACTATTTGGAAATATGCTACTTATTTTTCATTGTATGTTTTTTTTTTCTTCTTTTTTCTAAGCATGTACACATTTCTGTTCTGTCTTTATGCCTGTTTGTGAGACCTTGTGTTGCTTTTTTTTTGTTTTGTATATTTTTCACTCAGTCCTGCTCTCATTTGACTGGACGTGTGTGTTTTTATAAGCTTTAATTGTATGCGTTTCTGCTTTATCGGACACAGTGAAAAGCAATAGCAAAAAAGAAAAGAAAAAGAGCAATAGCAAAGAGAGAGGGAGTCATGAGCAGGACTCAAACTCACAGAGTGACAAGCACATGGTTATGTATGTTATCTTTATAATTCATGAAAATCTCTGATGAGTATAACCTGATAGAGAATAAGACAGAACTTTAATTTCACCTCCGGTGCTTGTGGGCCAAATAAGAAAAAATGCAAAACAAATGCAGGAACATATGTCCACCTCTCAACAACAGTAACTCATGTACAATAATCAACAAACTGAATCTGCAGGGTAGATTTCATGTCATCACACAGTCTCAGGTCGATTCTTTCAGGGCCATGTCTCACTTGTCTTGTGTTTTCTGCCAACACAACTGCCCCCATCAGAAGTTCTTCTTACACCAGAGTAGGTGAAAAAGGTCCCAACACAGTCCGTGTCCTTGGCGCAGCAACCAGGTACAGGTAAGCCATAAGATTTTCAGTTTTTAAAGAGCCAGCAAAGAATCATCCAAACAGACGAAACCCCCAAAAATCAGTTTACTTTAACAGAAACCTCAGGTGTGTGAGTGCGTACGTGTGCAAGTGAGAGCATGAACCAAAACACAATGATGTTATAGAGATGTCATTACTGCCATCATCCACGGTGAGAGTTTAGTAAGATGTCCAGTTCCTGGCATCTGCATATTGATTTGCAAACATTTTTTTATTTTTATTTTAAATGATTTTAAAGTCTTCTGGTAGACAGCAGGTCACTGATGCAAGCTCACTGAGAATCATATCACCAGTTGCAACTTCCATTGATAAACATTGCACTTCTCTGAGGTTGCAACCGTCCAACATAGTCAAAACAAACGCTTCGCATTCGGCGCCCCGTCGGCTAAATCGCAGGGCAACAGTTTCTAGTGATGTGTGTTCATGTGTGCTGTATTTAATGAGTGATGCAAAACATGGATTTTGTAAAATAAATGCGTATAATCTGTTTTTCATCGAGACTATATAACTTTTTTTTTTAAAGGAAGATGTATAAAACTGACATTTGTGTAATGAAAGACAATGTGACTCTTAACGAACTCCTTTATAGTTGCAGAGGGGAAGATTCTCTGTCAGCACATTGACTGAAATGGCATGAAACATTGCAGCAACGCAGCTGCAACATATTGTTGAAGCTCAAGTCAGATATTTGAAAAAGATGGCACATGATATGCAGAAATCAGTTCTTGTATGACCATTGTGGCAACACGCCAGCTGTTTAGAAGCAGTGAAGTCTCTAGCACCAGATTTAAAGCCATCAAGGACACAGAAGTTGTATTAAAAATCAAAGAGTGATGCCATAATCGTGTTTCTTTAGACTGTTAAGTTGTGACTTTGCTATTATAGGATGGAAATATCACAACCATATGACTGAGGTAAATGACAAAACATATCTTCAATGTTTTCCTTCACTCTGCTCCTCTTCACACAATATTTTGCATCCCATCAGCCAAGTCTACATCCGATGTTGTTTAGTATTTAAAGGAAGTTTCTACATCATATAGCCACAATATGTCAGAAGATTTTTTTAAAAATCTGTTCCTTAAACTTATTTCTCTTCCTGAATTTGAGCCGGTGCAATAAATAAGCCATGGAGGAGGCCAGCAAGGCCTCAGCTCATACGATTAAAATTTTTTTTTAAAAGCACATGATTTTAAAAAATAAAGACCAAAGACAGGTTTGACATTAGATTCGGATAAAAACAAAACATTAATATAAATTCTATTGGGGTTCTATATATATATTCAGTTTGTATTTGTGATGGCAGGATAGTTCAAGATCTGAAATAACCTTTAAATCTTGAATCATCTTTATCTCTGTTACATTTTGTTGTTGAATTTTAACTGATGTCTTACTTTTTTAGAAACACAGTTTCTGTAGCAAATGTATTATCTTCATGTTCAGGGATGCAGACTCCTCATGAGTTTTATTTCAATCTGACTTGTACCAAAATAGCTCTGATGGACGGACACACACACAAACTGATACGTTCTTGTTTTTATGTATTTTTATGAGAAGTTAATACTATTTTTTCTTTTTCTTGTTGCTTATTATTTGCTGTTTGTTGTTTCTTGTATTTTGATAAAGGCGCTTTTGGTTCTCAGACTTTTCACTTGTCATCTTCTTCTTGCCATCACTTTGCACACCTTCATATCCTAAATCATATGATAGAAACACAACTACTCATCCTTCAAAACTTTCAATACAGTATTTCTGCTCTCTTATGCAATACAAAAATAGTAAGCATTTCTTAAAAGTGATGAGGCCTCGCATATTTTCACCAAAAACAACATGTATGTGTTTTCATCTTTTATTATAGAGCCCTGTCTTTCTCACAGGGGGTTGTATCCATAAAGAAAAATATCATAAATAAACGTTCATTTTCCTCCAACCTGACGCTGTTCTCAACAAACTGAAAGCAAACATTTAACACTTGACCGTGACACACACCCACACATTCACCACAATCTCAGAAGTCACGTAGAGTTTAGGGGCTAATATGTCGCCAAAACACGATGCAGTGTATTAAATTCACAGTACCATAACATCATGTAGCACATGTATCACAACAGTTGTCACAAATCTACACTATACTGAGTTAAAAAGCTAAATAATAAAGGAATTGCATGTTCTAAAAGAAAGATATTTTAGTGTCTGCATCTGAAAGCATAAGGAGGAGCAGACAAAACTGTAAACCGTGTAATTAGCACCTAATGTTCATCCTAAGGTTCATTAATTCTGAATCAGCATTGAAACCATTTAACACACTAAACAACACAAATCTGGCCACTTACAAACTGCCATGTTGTCTTTGAAAACAGGCCCTCATTTTCCCGATTAACATCCCTAAAACAAGCGGGCTAATCCTAAAATGTTCCAGGTTTTCTTATGACCCATGTTAATGATCTTTGCAGTGATGCACAAGCAACCTTCCGTCCATCCATCCATCCTTCATTGTGCTACCACATGGGGGCCTCGGCCAGATCACTGCAGAGGATAAGGTGGAAAGAAAAAGAAAGATTTACAACCGCTGCAAACAAAACATGATATGCTGTCAATAAACAGGATAATAAACCTCTTACCACTGTTCCTGCTAATCTACTGCTCATTTAGCATTAACGTATTTCATTATTGCTGCTATTTCAACTCCTATTATGTACAATAATATTCACTCATATCTTTTTTAATCTCTAGTGCTGACTGTCAAATGAATGTGAACTACAAATGAACAACAGCTTTTATAAACCGGTCCAATAGTGGGGAGAGTGTGAAGAGAGGATTCTAGTCATGCAGAAAGAAGCAGGGTGTGTTCGGTGTGGCTGGTAGAAAGCCAGATCTGTCACCTCAGGACGGGGTTCACAAGGTCTTTTAGGATCAGTTGCTTCCCTTCATCAGCTCGGGTTTCCCAGTCCTGCCTCTTCTCGTCCTGATTTAACGGAGAGAAGCAGAGATGGATGTCATTTGCAGATCTTGATGCTGTTTCCTAATATATTTAAATGTAAATGTCCGTATGAGAACCAGTGACACTGAGCAATGCTTCCACACTGACATATCAATGCTTAATGTTGCTTTAATGTCCAGCTACAACATTGAAGCCCTGTGAATAATACTGATTTTAAATATCTTCACTGCTCTAAATTGGTAAAATAAGGCATGATTCATAACTGATCTCATTTGAGAAAAAGCAGGTACACATAACATTTTCTTAGTGTCTAACAAGCACTTCTGTTCCACGTTGAATGAGGATCTCTTGAAGTAAAAGCACAAATTATGATAAAAAAAAAAAAAATCAGATGCATGGATTAGCTGAGAAATGTGTTACAGCAAGTTCTGGGTGAAAACACAAGCGTTGTGATGTTTCTGCCTAATACTGCTGTTCTACGTTTTGTCCTTGACATGATCCAGTTTGATTAAATACATCATCATGACCTGTTTCTATGAGGCAGCACTGAACACAGGTGTTCAACAACAGAGCTGGAACAACCTGACGCAGAAACAGCACTCGAGGACTCAGTTGGGAAACTGGTCAAATATTTGCCCACTCAGGTCTGTTAGAAGCAAATGCAGGTGGTGTTGATCCTTGTTTAGTTTACATGTTAGTTTGATACCTGTGAGTCCTGACAGGCTAATCTGAGGGAAGCTGAAGATGCATCCTGGTCATCCTCAGAGGAAGAGTCAGAAGCTGTTTAAAGTGGGGAAAAACTCTACTTTGGTGCTCAGTGTAAAGAAGTAAAACATCAGAGTGGTATATAAAAACACTTCTTTACTTACAGGTACATGTGGAAACTATGGTGTTTGATCTAGTTTCAGCCACAGTCTCCAACCTCTGCTCTAGCTGATGAATATAACTCATCAGATCCTGCAAGTATCCGAAGACGAAGAAAGGGATGAGACCAAAGATGAAAAAAGGCATGAGACAAGAAAGAAGGTAAACTGTAAACTTTCATGAGGATATCGTGCTGTATTTTGGGTTTTTTGGAGTTTATAAAGTGGATTGTCTCTTAATAATTGAAGATATCATTGTCAACAAAGATGCTTTGGCTACACAATGAGTGTAAACTGTGGGAAAAGAAATACTCAGGTTAAATTAGGTAAAACAACAATAACATAATGTAGAAATACTCTGTTAGGAGCAAAAGTCACACATTCACAGTTTGATTTTAGTTCAATCAAAATATATGTTAAGTAACAGAATTAAGAGTATCTACAACAACACAATTCTTCATTTATTCTATTTTGTATTGTGAATTGAAATCTGCAAAGTAAGTAAAATTGACAAATGCATATAGAGGGGTAGAAAAAACAGTGTTTCTCTCTGAAATGTACTTTAGCAGATGTAAAAAGAAGCAGATAAATAGTCAAGTCAAGTTAATCCAAATTATACTTAAGTGTAGACCTTATGAAACCTACATGTACTGAGCTTTTTTCCAGCATCAACTGTAAATCTGGGCCTGAAAACTGAAAATGTCTCACACAATTTTGTTGATTTAACAAAGCCAACATGAGTCTGTGCGCCTTCCACTACACTGGCTGATTGGATCTTGTGTTTTTTTTGTTGTTGTTGTTTTTTTTTAAATTCTCTCTTCTTTTTCTTGTTATGGACATTTTCTCATTTTTATATAAACAGTGAAAAATAAAATGGTGGGCAAGAAGGATGGCCAAGACAATATTATTTAAACTGTGCTCATATGACTTCACAATTCAGGCCAGTGCAGTTCAGATGTAAAACCAGCCACCATCCTTATATGTCACTGAGCTGGGAACCACGACAGAATGTTGCTATATTCTGGAGAAAGAACTTCTTGATTAAACACCCATCTCTTGAAAAATACCATATCATAAAGTCATATACATTGTGGCAGTGGTCTGGTGCTGAATTCTTGCCTGTTTGTTGAGTTGTTCCTCCTCTCTCTCTTTCTGGATCTTTCTCAGACTGGCCTTCAGCTCCTGCAGCTCTCTCAGCAGTACCTACAGGGGGCGGCAGCATTTAAACTCAGATCATCTGAACACCCACACAGCTGATGCGGCATGTCCTCTTCCCTGCTGTTGATCACATGACGGTGTGAAGAAATGTTTACTCACTGTTCATGGAAGCTTTTCTATTTGTGCCAGTATGTGAGTAATAAAAGAACTGCGCTGAACTCTGGCATGATTCTCCAGTTTCCAGAACGCAACCTGAGTGACTGACCATGCAAGAACGGCAGCACCCGAGGAGTTATATTTAGAGCACGAATGTGTTTGTGTATTAAATAATAGTGATCACGATGTACTTTGATTTACTCACTTTATTGTAATCTTTCTCTTTCCCAAGCTCTACTTCTAGTTTCTCCCTCTCCATCCTCTCCTCCTGGAGCCACTCCTCTTTTCTGTGCGCCTCACAGCTCAGATCTTGGAATTTCTTCTTATCGCCCTGCGCAAAAACAAGAAAACAGATCTATTAATGAAGTCAGATCTATATATAGGTCATGCATGTGCAGCATCAGGTCCTGCTGCGTCCTCACTTCTGCTGCATGTTTGTATGCCTCTCTCTCTAAAGCCCAGTTGGCCCTCTCCTCCCTGAGGACCAGGTTCTCCTCAGACAGCAGCAGGGTCAGCTGGGCCACCTGCAGCCGGGCCTGGTGCAGCTCAGTATGGGTTTGGCCCTGTCGGGTTCCCATGTCCCTTAGCTCCCTACGGAGGCTCTCGGCTACATGCTCACTGGCCTCCAGACGCTCCTGCAGCCCTCTCTCCTCCGCCAGAGCAGCCTCGTTCTCCACCTGTGGAGAGACGAAGAGGTACAGCAACAGAAAGAAACACTTCTTCTTGCCTGATGTAGCCACGACAATGCACCAGAAAGTGTCCACTTCTTCCATATCTGGAAACATGTGACCATCTAAATCTGGCCTGGGGAAGGTTTTCTTATGTTACAGAGTTGTGCGTCCTCTGTGACCACATTTCTTAATCGTTAGCATCAACCAGTTACCTGCAGAGACTTTCTCTTTTCTTCGTTGTGTTTCATTTGACTGGACATTTTCTTCACTCTCTCTTTCAGCCTGTGGTACCAAATGTAAGGTTATTTTAAGGCCCAAATGAAAAACATTTAAGCTTGTATATGTCTTAAACACTTGCCTCTCCAGTTCGTTGTTTCCTTCTTCCTCTCTTTCAGTCAGAACTCTGATTTCTTCCTCCAAGTCTTTGATTTGCTGCTGACTTTCAGCTTTTTCAGCCATAAGTTTACTCAGTTCAGAATTCAGATTTTCCTGATTATATCTCACATCCTTTTGGTGTTGTGAAGAAAATAAAAAAATATTAGAAGTACTTTATGTCACCTTTTATTCTGTTTGCTAAGCTGGTGAAAGGAGACGTCTGTACCTTGTGTTTTCCCTCCATGTTCTTCAGCATCTCGCGGTCGTGTGTCAGGTTGTCTCTGAGCTCAGTGATCTCCGCCTTCATTGCTTCTCTTTCACACTCCCAATCCATCCTTGCCTTTTTGCTGTCCTCTTTCTCATTCTCTGTCTCTTTCTTTGCTGCGTCCAGAGCTCGCTGTAAATCTGCTTGCTTTTTCAAGCACTCCTCCAGCCGACTCTGTGGAACAACACAGAAGGAGATTTAAATACTTGTATTGTAACCAATAAGATTGATTTCAAAGCCTTCACACTGGCGCTTTCACTCAGTATTCATTATTCCAGTGAAGTTTTCTCCTCCCACCTGCAGCAGCTGAGCCCTGGGGATGACCAGGAGCAGCTCTTCCCCTCCATCTTCCTCATCTTGCTCCTCTTTTAGAGTCTCCAGCTCCTCCAGCGGTTTGGGAGCACAGAAAGTGAAGGGACGACTGCGGGCACGAACCTCCCCCATCTTATCCACATATACAAACTGGTACTCCACAGTACTGGGGCGGGGCAGGTAGAATGCTGCATCGAGTAGACAATCCAATCAAACTTAATGTTGTTGTTTTACTAAATATTGCAGAATAACATAAGGCTTAAGTAGAAGCACAACAGGCTCTAGACTAATAACAACATGTGCAGGAGTTTTTCCAAGTTTTATTCTTTCCGTGGTTTGCTGTCTGTACACTGTGACCCCTGTTGGTTGTGTTATAACTACATCAGAACCTCTCTGACTAAATAGATCTTTTTTTTTATATATATAAGTTTGGTTCAACTTATAACCGTGTAATATTGCAGTAATAACTACTGAGTACTCATGAGTTGGAATGTCAGTTCATTGATGTTTCAGGTAATTTTGAGCACTTTTATGTTTTAGATCCCCCAACTCAGCCCCCATAACCCCTAAAAAATGTATTGCAGTCTGTTTTGTCACATTGTTTTCACCTTGTGAGTCTATTTGTCTGTAAGCGTGCATCATCATAACACAATATGGTCACTATAGCAGGAACCACCACAGAGGTAGCTTTGAAATATTTGCTGGGTGTTTTTATGTCTGTCTGCACACATAGTAGTGCCACAACTGTAAAAGAGGCACTAACAAAACATACAGGTGTGTAGCTGAGATAAAAATGAATTTAGGATGTGAGATTGGTCCAATCTGTCACCATGTATTCAGGTAGAAATGACAACTGAGTTGTAATTGGTCGAAACCTCAACATGTTGGTGAGAGTGTGGCTGCTGTAATCACTCAGTTACTTCTGAATGTTAAAATATCAAAAAGGTTGAATCCGTCTTTGAGAAAAAAAATAAAAAAGTTGTTTGGCTGATTTCTTACCCTGAAAAAGTGCACAGTAGTCGACACTGGTTCCTTCAGTGTAGCCCTCAGGAACTAGAGCCCATGTGTACGTGTAATACTGTTTTACTGAAGACCAGCCCATCTGTGACAGGACAAAAAAACACCACATTTTATTCCACAAAACATACAGATGCCTCATCCTCATCCGTGTAACACAGTGACAATGTTCTTTGATGTTTTCTGATTTACTTTGGTGGTGAACTGGGAGAATCTACCTCAAAAATCCCAATCCAGTCACTGCTGCTCCACTGATGGGCTGAACTCAGACTGTAGTGACACTCCACTCTGGTCTGGGGGAAGTAGAGTTGTCCCACATTTCGAAACACCACTGTGGACTGTTTATCCATGGTAATAGGAAGCTTTGCTGTTTAGGAAGAAACATACATGGATCCAGTGAAACGTGCTCCAGTTTCAGTCTGGATGAGAACAGCTGATGAAAGGTGATACCAGAGTCAGGTCGGGAATGCAGCGTGGTCGCAACACCAGTCGCCTATGGCTCGACAATATGATTGTAAACAAGAAGCTTATATACCTACTCAGTGGTGAGATTATGGCATAGAATTTGCAAAAATACAGAAATTGTGAATGAACTGTTTGTTGCTCTGAGCATGTGGCGTTGTATACTATAAAAACAAGAAAAATATCAACTATCAATCTACTGTCAAAATGATTGATAGTAGCTCAGTTTTTAGAATTAGTTATTCATTTTTACTTTTGATTGGCCAACCAATGGCTTTACTTTATGTTCCAATACTACTTTTTTTAATTTCTAAAAACCATAATCATGACAAATTGAAATCAAATACAAATATAACACAAAAAACACTTCAGATGACAAGCAAAAGTTTTCAGTTATCAATAATCCCCCTCATGTGTGTCAACAAATCTTCTATGTCCTTATTATCTACAAGTTAACATATGAAGCTTTCCCCTTGTTACTGGTCTCCATTGGTGGCTTTCTGAGACAAATGACTGGGTTTAGTAACTTAACAAACTCTGTGGAGTTCATGTTGGTGATGGTGGCGTTAGCCTTACCTTATTCTGCAGAGAAATGAATGTCGTGTCTTTTCTGCCACCTCACGAGGAATCAGTCTGCAGATGATGAGCAGTGCTGTCAGGTGCAAGAGTTTCACAACCTCCCCTGAACCATGTGAACCCCAAATAGAATTAGTGATGCTGAGTGACTCATGGGAGATGCAGTTCACCAGTGCACAGCTCGTCAGACGGCGGAGTAGAGCTGCAGACTTCAACTCCCATTGCAGGATACAATTATAGGACACTGCTGCTCGTTACTCCTCATTGCAATTCTTGGTAGTGGCACAGGTGGGGGTTAGGAAAGAGGGGAGGTGGCACTTTCCTCAAAGTCTAGCATGTCTCTTAATAACAAGCTAAATGCATCCAACATCCTGGAATCAGTGAAAGGCATAAAAATAACTGACAGCTCATCAACAGTCTCAAATTTTCAGTATTTTTGGACAAAGACTTGAAAGACTAAACTAGAAATGTATTGTAAAATTCAATAGGCTGCCTGTGATTTTACCCTGTGATTGCGTAAGAACTATGTTCCCGCTTTGAACACTTGATGGCAGTGTAGCTGTAGCACAAACCTACATGTCACAAGAGTTTTTTGGGGGCATTTAAGGACTCACAATCTGGAATTAAACCCTGAAGATTGTTGAGTTCAATTCAGTTTCAATTCCCAACAGATGTAATTTTACGACACTTCACATAGTAAAGTGAAGACCTTTCAAAATCTGCAGAGAAATCCAACAAATCCAAAGATTCCCTTGGAAGCCTTTTTAACAAGCACTTCGCAACAGTGGGAAGAAAAATCTCCTCTTTACCAGGAAATAAAAAAACCTCCAGCAGAACCAGGCTCAGTGAGGGCAGCCATCTGCCTCAACTGGTTAGGGTGAGGCTGAAGACTAGCAGACAGCAGATAGAAAACAGACAAACACTGCATAAGACGACACTCATAAAACAATAAGGAGGCTGGTGAGGCGACTAACCTGCAGATCAGAAACATGTAGCTCCACAACCAGAGATACCTGCAGAGAGAACACATTGCGAACTACAGAAGAAAACACAAAGGTAGTGACATGTACAGTCGTCCTCAAAATTATTCATACCCTTCCATTAAAGAAAAGGCATAATTCACAATAGCAACTCATCCATCCATCCATTATCTATACACCACTTAATCCTCACTAGGGTCGATAGGGCTGGAGCCTATCCCAGNACTAACCTGCAGATCAGAAACATGTAGCTCCACAACCAGAGATACCTGCAGAGAGAACAAATTGCGAACTACAGAAGAAAACACAAAGGTAGTGACATGTACAGTCGTCCTCAAAATTATTCATACTCTTCCATTAAAGAAAAGGCATAATTCACAATAGCAACTCATCCATCCATCATCTATACACCACTTAATCCTCATTAGGGTCGCAGGGGCTGGAGCCTATCCCAGCTGACTTAGGGTGAAGGCAGGAGACACCCTGGACAGGTCACCAGTCTATCGCAGGGCTACACTTAGAGACAGACAACCAAGCACACTCACATTCACACCTACGGACAATTTAGATTCACCAAATAACCTCAACATGTTTTTGGACTGTGTGGGAGGAAGCTGGAGAACCTGGAGAGAACCCTGCTGCACAGGGAGAACATGCAAACTCCAATAGTAACTCAAATAACTAGAAACTGAAAAAAGTAATAATGAATTTTAAAAAATGCAAAACTATAATTTAGTGAAATAAGACATTGCTTTTGAATTGTGGTTGAAAAGAATAATTTAAAAAATACAAACAAAACTGTCCTGGACAAATTAGAGCACTTTGCTGATGAGCAGTGGGCCAAAATCAAAATAGCTGTCAACAGGTGTAGAAGTCTGATTGAGAGTTACAGAAAACACTTGACTGCAGTGATTGACTCAAAGGGTTGTTCAACAAGATATTAGTTTATGGGTCCCATCATGCTTGTTTGCTTGTTTTGTTGTTGTTGTTGTTGTTGTTGTTGTTGCTTTTTTGTTTGTTTTAAAAAAAATATTTCTCTTGAACCACAATTCAAAAGCAATGCCATGATTTTCATTACATTTTTATTTATTATTACTTTTTTAAAATTTCAACTTATTTCAGTGACAGCTGTTTTTTTTCCTTCTTTAATGGGAGGGTATGAATACATTTGAGGACGACTGTAATGGAAACATATTACTGTTTAAAGAGAAAGCTTCACCTGATCCAGCCCCAACTATTGGCTATATCAAAACGTAAGGTTTTTAGCCTTAAATGCAGAGCGAGCTGAACCCAAACTGTGAACTGGTTCCACAGCAGAGCAGTCTGATAGCTGATGTTCTGCCTCCAATCTGCTTTTGGAAACTCCAGGAAACAAGTAAACCTGTAGTCTGAGAGCAAAGTGCTCCATTAAGATAAGAATTATGGCAGACAATTAGACAACTACACATTTAAGATTAAACTATTATGATAGCAATAGCACTGCAAACTAGATGAATCCAGTCTACTGTGGCTCATTAGCGAGTAGTGGTGACGTTTCTATTTTTAACAGCAGAAGACATTGTAAGTTGTCAAAGCAGGAAAAATACAGGTTCTATTGATGATATTAATAAACACAAATACTTAAGGTCATGATAGGCTACCTCTAAAGCTAGTTTCCCATCAGTGTTACCATTTAAACATTCAGCAAGTTTTAAAGCCACACAAAATGTTCCCATGCAAAACATGAGCCTTCATTTTTGGAGCACCAGAGGAAGGACATTAGCCCAGATCTCATAATCCAATATTTATTTAAACAAGAAACTTCTATGAATCCATAGAACTAGTAAAATAAAGCATGAGAAATTAGTATGTAAACACATAAAGTACATTATCAAAGCACATGACAAAGAAGACGACTGTTAAAAAAAAACAAACAAGCAAAAAACAGTATAAAAGAATAGTCTTGTACAGTAATCTGGCACATACAACACCTTCAACTTTATTTTTGCAGTTTTGTATTTTCCTTGTTTCTGAATGCTGTAATTTTCCTGTCAAAAGCTACAGTATGTCAGTAAATGAGTTGATGTAATTACAAAACTCCAGATCAGTTCAGTCCATACCTGTTGTCATTTTATTCATAAAATTGTAATTTAATACATGCCAAAAAGTTGGCAATTGTATATTTTCTAAGAGTATCCTATCCAAGGGTAATGATTGCTTCTAATTAAATTCTGTCATATTTGAAGGCCATTTCTATCAAGGTATTTGCTATACCATGTTAATATTGTGAATGTCTTTTGTGTTAATACATTTAAATTTTGTTTTTATCTTCACATATTCATGAGCAGATCAATACCGGGCCAGGCTGGACATAGTAACAGTATCTCTAGGCTCCCCCTCCACCCCCAAATTTACAGGCTCAACAAGTTTAATCAGTGGACTCAATAAAAAAAAAAAAAAAAACACAAACATGAACATTCACATATACCCTGAGCTTACATTTGGGATATAAACGTACACATATATTCAACGCATCTTATCGTTATGGTAGTGTATAAATATTTTTAGGTTCATAATCCAGGGCCGCTGTAACAACTGATCCACACAGAAAATCCTGGAGTGAACAAACAAATCTTTGCAGTGAAAGAAAACATTCAGTTGCGGAAAATATTCGTTGACAGCATTTGCGGTAAGAGTTGTGAAGGCATTAGTGTACCACACCCTGGAGCTTTTTGCTGCTATTGTCACTGAGGCTGGCAACGTCTGTTTACACTCACAGACTAAGCTGTGAAGAAAAATGTGGTCATGCACTTTTCTTTAGTGCAGCAAACCATCCGTCAAATTAAAGATACACCGAGTCTGTTACTGGAACTCCACACATCCTGATCCATTGTCAGACTGACTGCACTGCACACTTCTACTGATGAGTGTCAGAGGAAGCTGATTAGCTCAAGAGTTATTCAGCAGTGATAGAACACCAAGTTCTGCCAGCTTGGCTTTAGCTACATCCTCCCATCCCTTATTGGCTTGCGGGTTCCTGGGCGACGGATGCATGATGCCCTCGACTCGCACGTTGATGCTTGCAGCAGACAGAGCTCGTCGTGCCCGCTGCTCCGCCACCCTGCCTACGCCAATCACCATGGAGACGTCCAGCGCCTCCACCACCTGGCACAGTGCAATGTCACACAGGGCCAGCAGAGCCTCCCGTTCAGCTGCAGGCAGCTCAGGGGGCGTTAAATTCTTCCCACTGGCACTCATGAAGATTAGTGGGCACAGATTGTGTACGAAGCAATGCTGAAAGAACAGCTCCGGTTCACCGCACAATTTCTTGAAGAAGCCCCAAAAACGTGCACCGCTTACTTCACTCTGAGTGCAGGCGAGCCCCGTGATCCGTCGCTTCGGATGCTCGTCATCAGGATGACCGACCTCCCCTGTGATCTTCAGCCAGTCAACAACTGACCTCACTTCACCGAACGGGACCTGAGCAAAGATGAGTAGATTGTTTATGCTTTTAGGTTTAAGCACAAAATAATGACAGTTAATCTAAACAAGTCAGGATTTGAAGTTTCCTCAAGCTGACCAGTACACAAATATTGAGAGTGAAAACTGTGACGATCTAAACACAAGTGGTGTTAAAATCAAGATGTTTTATCTATATAAATGTATTATGGTTAAAGAATTTGTTGTTTAACTAATTGACAATGAATGAAAACAATTTTGTAATAATCAATTGATTGTTTATCTGTCATTAAACTGGGAAAAAAACATATATTCACTGTTTCCTGCCTGTCAGAATGCAAGGATTATCACTGATGTTTATTCACTGATCGATGGATTTTTCACATTTTCTACTATTTTTACGCTCAACAAATAATCAACTAATTGTAAAAGTAATTGGCAAATTAAATAACTGTCACTTTTGGTCAACAAATGGAGTGATTAACTCACTGGGAGCTGTTGTATCAGTAATTTTGTTTATGGTATTTAAGAAGTTGTGTTGGCTTCAAATTAGGCCCGTATATTTCAACACAAAATGTGTATGCTACTTCTTAGGGACATCAATCATTTTGTCCAGGTATTTTAAAAGATCTTTAAGAAAAAAGTTTCTTGCAATGTTTTATTCTACTGTAAACCAAATTTGTGCAGGTGTAGCAACATTTTTAAAAATTGATTTTATATGGGATTTCTCAGAGTATTACTGTGTGTTTGCAGAGCAGTTCCTCAGTAATGGAGATGGGTGTGGATACTGATGCATTTCCTGAAATCCTAAAATCATACCACAAGGTAAGAAATACCTGCATATTCAGAACCACAGCTATCTCTGATGACCCTTGCATTCTCTTGGGGATTAAATTAAATATGTTCAAAGGTTGCTTTGTCTAAAGAGTGTTCTTCAAAAAGGCAGGGCAAGGTAGTTAGCTAAGTAACCTGTAAAACCTGTAAAGCATGGTTTACAGGAGACAGCACTGTATTAATTTAGTACAGTCCCCTTGTATGGAGCCAAAGGGCCTGTGACCTGTGTCCCTCAGGGGGGACTTCTGCAGTCATCTAGTTCATGGTAACCCGAACAAATTCAGTAGAAGGCAACTGGACATATTTTTTGGTGTTACCTCTTATAGATTGTCCATTTCGCTCTCAATATAGTTGTGTGCAGTCCTTGTTGCATTGGAAAAGCGCATTACTAATTGCTCAGCTTGTGTTTAGGTGTTTCATCCTTTGGGGGAACCAGTTTTTGACTCAGTGTAGCTGGGGCTACAATGCACTGGACCACTCATCAGGTACTTATGATGCAGTCTTGAAATCCATACCAAGATAGTTTCGTCACCATTGCCACCACAGGGCATGTGAGTCTTGGTTTGTTAACCATTAAGCACGTTATTTGGGGATAAGAATAAATTCGTGGGACTCCCTATCAGTCAAACTAAGAGAGCTTCTTGGAAGGAGTTCAAAATCTTCAAGAAACAATACATAGATAAAGAGATAGATCGATCCATTTCTCTTCTACTGAAGGTTTTAGGATTAGCTCAACTTATCTGAAAAAAAATAAAATAAAGAATTGAATAACCCTGAAAAGTTAATTTAAAGTAATAGATACGCAGAAGAAACAGAGAGCCAAACTAGAAGCATAATGATTAAAATCAGATCATTAATGATGAAAAGGTGAATAAATGGTGTATTGCTAAAAAGCTAAAACTGTTGGCTAAAAGTGGATGAATATGTAAAATAATTAAAGGAAGGATAAACAAATGTAAATTGTTAGTACACACTTAAATACACAATGCCCGCATTGCGCTCTTCATGAGGACAAGTTCGGACATTGTTGTTGTTGTTCAGGTTTACTTCCGCATTTACAACCAATGAGAACTGTCCACAGTGCAGACGTAAACAATGCTGTATCACTTCGCTATTTTGCTATAAGATGCAACCACAGACTGCAACTAAGTTAATTAAAAAACTAAACATGTATGTGCAGCTGTACTCACTCCTGTCTGCGCCATGCCGAAGGGTCCAGGATTCATGCCCAGGAACAGGAACTTCTTCCCGGGCTGACAGTACTTCTCCACGTAGCAGCGGTGGGTGTCCCAGGCGTACTCCAGCGGGTTGTAGATGTACCGGACAGGCTCGCTGAAGGTGAGCCGCCGGAGGTGGGTGTTGAGCTCCAGCTCAGCCTTCAGGAACCTGGAGGAGGGAGTCCCATCCAGAACTCCAGGGTCCTGCTGCTTTGGGCCACACGGAGGCTGGTTCTTCTCTCCATCTCCACAGACGAGCGTTTCATTCGCAGATGAGTTGTCATCTAACATTTTGGAGCGATAAAGTATTAAATAAGTTCTGGTTTGTACTATAAAATCGGACCATTAACGTTGGGTTTTAGACTGTGACAATGCAATGTGCTGGAGGCTTTTATGGTTTTTGTTTGGTGTTTTCTTCCTCTGCACCTTCCTGTTAGTCGGTCTTCTTTGCGCATTAAAGGCGGCTGCTGCCCCCTACAGCCATGTTGGTGTCATTATAGGGAGGAACATTGTACTGTAGTACTGTATGTTCTGTAGACAGCAAGATGTTGAGTCCTTGTGCAAGCTTAGTTATTCTGTACACACATTAAGTTTTACCCCATTAAATCATTTACATTGATTTAGAGTCATTCCACAACATAACTAATCTCAAGGCAATCAGTCAATCAAGTGCCTTGCCATTCCGCGTCGGTGATCATTTCTCTACATTTAATCTCATCTTTTGCTTTCTGGATTGTGACCGATGCCCGTTCCATGTGTAGCCATGATGTCAGTCCGTCTATCATTTTCCTTCTCTGTCTGCCTCATCCTCTCTTCCCATTAATTTTTCCAGTTGTGACAATATATTCCAGGGTCTCTTTCCTTATGATGTGTCCAAAAAAAATGCTGCTTGCCATTTCCTATTTTTTTTCAATAGCGTATAATTTGTGTTTAGTAATTTTAAAACATCTTCATATTCTGTCCATATAAGATATATGTATCGTGCTTCTGTAAAACCACATCTCTGCTGCAGTGATTTTGTTTGATGTTTTCTTATTTATGTTCCAGGATTCACATCCGCACATCAGAACTGGTGGAATGTAACAGCTGACAGTTCTCATACAGATGCTGTTTTCTTATTTGTCAGTATATTTTTCATTTTCATAAATGCTGTTCTTTCATTGCTACTCTACATCTGATATCTGTTTCAAACCTCCCATCTGATGTCATCCATGAACCAAGATATTTGAAATGGTAACCCTGCTTCAGTATTTCTTGCTCTAATTTTATGTTACAGGTTAGGATGACATTTTTCTTTGAAATTACCATTACTTCTGTTTTCTTTTTGTTTAAAGACGGACCAAGTTTTTGGCTCTCTGTGTCGATGATGGATACTATAGTCTGCAAATTTTCTTCACTGTTCGCTGTCAGCACTGTGTCATCTGCATAACATGCTATTTATGTTAAATCTCCGGACACTTCACATAAAAAGGTAAAGCCTCTACAGTTTTATATTATAGAGATGAACACAACACATTCAAATGATTTCCTTCGAGCAGAACTTTGGCCACAGTGAAAACTAAAAACTCTCCTTTACCAGAAAAAAAGACTCCAGCAGAACCAGTGTCAGGGAGGGCAGCCGTCTGTCTTGACTGGTTGGGGTGAGGTTATAGGAAACAAGATAGAAAACATCTAAAACACATAGAAAAAACATTTAACACTGGGGAGGCCAATAACTGTAGATCAGAAAAGTGTTGCTCCAGAGCCAGTGATAGCTGCAGGGAGGACAAAATACAAATTACAAGTGCAAGAAAACTCAAAGTCAGTCACATACGATCGTAGCATGTAACAAGTGACAAACAGGAGAGTAGAGGCGAGGTGCATCATGGGACGTCTCCCAGCAGTCTATGCCTATAGTAGCATCACTAAGGGATGCTTCACACTTTTACAGAATTGAATTTCCCTTCTGGGATGAATAAAGTATTTTTCATTTTCATTTCATTTCATTTTCATTCACGGTCACCTGAGCAGCCATAACCAGAAGCTCTAACAAAAAGAATGTTTTTAGGCTAATCTTGAAAGTACAGTGGATGTCTGCCTCCTGAACCCAAACTGGGAGGTGGTTCGACAACAGCCTGATAACTGTAAGAAGTGCTCTGTATAATGTGGCACGTTAAGATAAATATGTAGAGAGAATTCATGTTCCTTGTTAGTTGTGTTATTTTTTAACTTTGCCCAAATTAGTTTATTATATAAATATTTATCCATGATCAACTGCTTCACTTAATTATTTTATAGGTATATCAGCAACATTTAGTAGTGACTCTTACAAACCACTCCACTGAGAGGAGTTGTGGTTCCGACCTGCCATTGTTTATTGTGGGACAGATGTTCGTGCATCAGTGGTGGAATAATGTGCTGCAGAGGTTAAGGTGAAGTGTACACTGTCCTGCTGTGTTGGTGCTGATTAAGGAATATTATTTTAGGAAAAACTGTAGCCTCTTTTAACACTGACAGCACAGAGAGTCAGGAGGACACTGCTCACCAAGAAACCAGCATTACACTTGTACTACTCATGTTATTAGGACTGTGGTTAGAATATCTACCTTGAAAATAAAATATTCTCTAAACTAGATTTTAATACAAGGATTTATGTCAGTTTATGTAATTTTGTGGCTTGTCCTAACATCCTTGATTGTAGTTGGTGACCATTTCCCAAAACCAAGTCCACAAAAGTCCTGACACTAGAGAGAACTACGTAATCAAAGGAGTAATATGACGTGTAAAAGTGACTGGGGGGTGCTATATTTCAAACAAGAACATGAGAGCACCTGGTTGCATTAATAGTAATCTATTGAAAATACAATTTCACACATGCATGTGTTCATAAAATAAACAGGAATGACAGGAGTTCTATGTTACGGCTGAAACAGGTTTTTAAACAGTAGCATTTTGAAAGTCTAATTTTTAACTCAAATGTTTGAAAAGAAAAACATGTGTAAAGCATACAAAAGTCCTTTACAAATTCTTTTATTATTTCAGCATAATAGTAAGAAGCCTCTCCTCTGATTTTCATACAGTTGAAACTAATTGGATCACAAGGGTACATATTAGTTAGCCCATTTTACAATAATCATTTTTTTTAGGAAGTTATTCTTATGCACTCATTTTCCTACACAAAATAATCAATATCAAGATCCTATCTTAACTGAGGACCATAACTCTGCATGCAAGACTAATAAAGAAAACAACTAATCTGTGATAGCTACTGTTATGCTGTTGTTCATCTAATACCATTATCAATATAATTTACTACAAATACCAGGGACTTTGTATAAGAAAGAAAACATTTTCTTGTGGTACTACTGCCTCTAATGTCAAAATTACCAAACATACTGGGCTCTCAACTGTACTGATCCAAATTGTTCTGTCCACCTTCTGTGTCGAGCTGAGGAGAAACAGGCTTTGTCTAAAACCTAAAATCTAGTACAGATTGAAGGAAAAAAAAAATATCCATCCTTTTTTTTTGTCTTTTTTCCTTTCACTCCAGTGTTTACAATTTCATCAGAATAAAAAAGGTCCTTGAAACAATCATCAAAATGTGATGAGGAAACTCTCAAAGAATTAATTTCATCGGTCGGAAAAAAAAAAATTAAACCTTAACCTTATAACAAATGATCTGAGACTCAAGGATTCTATTGCATTTTAACCATGAAAATGATAATACTAAAAACAATAAATGACAAAAAGGTATTAACAAGTGACGTCAACTATATACTGTATTGCCCTTTAGCCGTTTTCAGTATGTGCTCGCACCAACAGTGTCCCTTCCACAGATTTGGAATAGTGTTTCCAGAGCAAACTCTTTTGTTTCTCAAACTTGGCCCCTTTGCTGCCACAGGGTTTTACTTTTATCTTTGAAGTCACTTGAAACTGAATCCCATCTTTGTGCACACTTTAACCGACACACAACTTTGCCTTGATATCACCGGACCATTTAAAGAATAATACTTTTGGTACATGATCACTCAACTCGGTAATCTGCTTCGTTTTTAAAAGAACTGTTCATCCCACAATTCAGAGGCCAGCTAAAGCACTGAGAGACTCCAAATCTGTACATTTAGTCTCCGGCTTATCTGGGCCTTTAAAAATAAGTCTTTCAACTAGGTGTGATCCAAATAGGATCATAGTTTCCAGCCGATTATTCCTCCCACTCAGCACTGACATTTCTGGGTCAAACTACACAGGACAATGTGGTCACTAGCTTACCAGCCACAGAAAGGATCAAAGTTTGAGAAATTCTCCAAAACAAGCAGCCCCTCGTTGGCCCTCTCTTTGCCGTTTGACCATCAAACGCTTCCACAGAGTACGATTAAAGTTCATCATAAGTAAAAGAAATAGTTTGTTACAATATCGTTTATGATTATTTGTGTATCCGCAACTTACTTAAGGCTAAACCCAATAACATGACAGACATCCATTATTACACACCAACCACATAATATTTGGATGAAAAGGCAATTGTTAGTGTGTAGCAGAGTCAAGCAAGTGTTGATTCTGCTATGGCCTGCGACGGGCCAAAGCACTGCAGTGGGAAACAATTTAGCACTACTGACTTCTCACAAAGACTGCTGAACTCCACCGGGGGCTCCTTTAGGATTATATACCGTGTTACACTGTTATCAGTAACAATGACCCAAAATATTATCATCATAAAGACGTCCTCTCAACAGAAGAACACATTAGTCTGTTTTAGCGCCACTTAAGCCATCAACATTCAGTAACCATGACAGCTTTAGGATAAAAAAACAAAACAAAAACAACAAAATGATGATGAAAGGCTAGTAAATACATCTGATCCACAATAGTAAAACAGTTGAGAAAAAGGCAAATAAAATAAAAAGAAAAAAAGAAAAGAGAAACATACTAAGGCCACAAGATTTTGTATACCCCCGCTAATCTCACAATGTGACAATCTGTACAAACATAATGGGACTTCAAGTGGCCAACCTGTGTCATTTTACAACAGGATCTATGGAGATGGTTAGGAGACTTTTTTTTTTTTTTTCTGCTATAGTGCTGGAGATCTCTGTATATATACCGTGCATATACAGCTGCGCGTACAATAGCACATACTCTCAGTACATTTGGAAGGAGGATCTGGCAAAGGCTGCCGTCCCGTTTCATTTCCTCAGTCATCGGCATGTCACATACACGACACGACAAGAAATAAACATGTGACACTCCTGTGACTCGATCGTTCCTGTCTGACGCACACCTGGTTGAGCACAGGTCGCCCTCTCGTCGGCCAGTTCTTGGAAGTCCTGGTTTACAGTTACTGATATTATGTTTTTTTTGTTGTTTTTTCTTTTTTTTTTTTAAATGACACACTCACAAAGTTACTCAGGTTTCCTCAGGACCCGACTGCAACGGTAACAGACTGAACGAAATTCTAACTTTGTTTCTTTTTGGCCCATTTTGTGCAAGAAAAAAAAACATCACTTAAGCCTGCAGTGAAATAATAATAAACATTTTGAATTATTTACACAAAGTAATCATTTAAACTGGACCTTCCATGGTGATAAAGTTGGGAAGCCCCGTGTATTGAATCACATTTATACCTTCAGTGAAATGTCTCAATGCTCGACACTGTGTTAGCTGCAATAGCAAGCAAACTCTGGTCCAAACAGGATGTCCACAGAGTAGTTTCCCTGCTTTACCTGGAAGGAAAGTTCAGTTCACTAACCTAAGTGACGATCCTTTCAAATCAAAATGGGCCACGTAAGAAAACTTAGAAAGACGCTCAAACACTCTTTTTCACCACTTTATCCCATTTGTTGCCAACACGGTAGGATAAACAATACCCAGTGCCCTTCCCGAGTACCACTAAATGCCGATATTTTTTTTTGAACAACAATAAAAAGT